CTGCGTGACTGTCATGGTGTCGGCAGTTGAAGCACGTGATTAACGGTAGGATTAAATCTTGTTTTCACATGCACATAAAGTTCATTTTAAAACGGGACAAACTCATTTACAAGTTGGATTTAGTTAGTAAATAATGACACTCGTACAATACACAACACGACGCTCACAGACTTTAAGTTGTTTCAGGTCTTCGTAATTTTCAATTCTATGACACCATGACGCCATGACACTATGAAGGTGAGCAACGCAACCCGTCGTACATGATAAACGACCTCGTAATCGGTTTAGCTACGTTGATAACAAGGTACGAAAATAGACTAACTAAAGTGCACACTTTACGTTTGCTGCTGTATAAAAAACGCGCCATACTGATAAACATTAGTCGATACGATTTACAGTCACGGGAAACATATACAATTACGTACCCCCTTTCTTTCCTCTCTCTTCTGTATGTATATATACCATCTGTGACCGGGTGTAAAACCTAAGAGTAAACTTTGTGTGCAGACTCTTTCAGTGTTGTGCCCGTAGTGTAAAGTACACAACCCTGTGCACTTAAAGGTACCCATCTGATATATGACTAGATAGTGGCCACATGAATACGTGCTCACACCAAGGTGCGGGTACAGCAACGTGCAATTAAACTCGGACAAAGTACTGTGACTACGTGTCCAATATATATATTTGTGTGGTCCTATCAGCAGCATATCCCTCTCTCTTAGGCAAGAGGGTTTTGATATTTGAAATGATCTAAAATGCCCTGTTTTTTCTGTTCTGATTTCTTTATGAAATATTCGAACGGTTGGTATTTAATACGTTTAACAATACAAGACATCAAAAGTGAGTGAGTGAGAGAGAGAGAGTATATAAATTAGCTGGGTTCACTGTGTAAATTTGTGTTCCTTGGTGGTACCTGGATCCTGTGAACATCTGTTTTAATCCAGGATTTGTATTGATTTTTGAACTTATCAGGATCTGTTACGAGATAGTGGGCTTCCTTATGTGTCATAGCGTGTCCATGAACGAATAGCAGCATATAAGGTGATTTGGTCCTCGAGTTTAATATTCAGTGATTGAGTTTCTGTAAGAAATTGCATGGTTGAAAATACAACAACAATATCATTTACAGATGCCCACGAACTCATAAATATGAGGTCACATATGAATTCGCGCTGATTTTCTTTTACGAACTCAGGCACATTCATTCATTGCACATTCATTCCTTTTATTGCTGGGCGGTGGGGTAGCCTAATGGTTAAAGCGTTCGCTCCTCACGACGAAGGCCCGGGTTCGATTCCCCACATGGGTACATTTGTGAAGTTCTGGTGTCCCCCGCCGTGATATTGCTGAAATATTGCTAAAAACGGCGTAAATCCATGCTCAGTCAGTCCTTTTATTGCATAGCAACGCTTTTCTACCAAGACGATCAGTTCACAGTCTTACCCAACAGTCGTACTAATCAGTAAGTTTATTTCACTTGCAGATCAAGTAGAATGTCAAATAAATTTCAAACGAAACATAAAGGTTCACCCTACCTTGTGCTTGCGCCATTGCTATGACTTGGGTCTATTTATAAACAAACTGGCTTGATCTGGGTCAAGTTGGACTTTTCCCAGTCGAACGGATTACTCAGTGTATACCTGTTCAGATTGTAAAAAAAGTAAAACTCACTGAAATCTTTTCCAAAGTATTTGGGTTGATTAAATATACAACTACGGGAGGTTGAAATACATCATAAGTATTAGAGCAGACACTTTAGTTACCTTTATCGAAATTATGATGTATTATTACCTACGAGGGTTAACATATCGGGGCTCATATTTTTCATACGATGCCCTAGGGCAAAATATCACTTTGTCATGGTGATGTGACGTATCTTCTGAGACGTTGAGTTCTACATGCGGCGACGGCGGGTAGCCAGCCTTTGTTTTAAATTAGATTTGGGTTTATTTTCCAAAAATTTGAAAACTTCGGTAATAAACAGAATATTATAGTCGTGCCCATATCATAGTATGTTTACGACACTCGAAAAAATACAACTAGTGGTCATAAATAGGTAGGGGATATCTTTTGAAGTGAGAAATAAAGACACAATTTCATTAAGATAATAATATAATCAAGTTAATCATGATACAAGTTTTTAAAAAATATAACCATTATCTGTTTGGTCGATACATGCTAACATGGCATGCTAATTTTAATTATAGAGTTATGCATCACGAAGAATGTAATATGTACCGAACTATAAAAGAAACGTCACCTTTGAAAACCAAATGCAAAATTTTGTTCTTAGAAGGTGGTGTTTTTAGTATGATTGTACCGTTTTGTTGACATATTTTTCAATCCAAATTGACAGGTATTGCCAACATTAGTGTGTTTTCTGATGAAAAAGCATACCTTTAAAGCACAACTAAAACGGCAGACGTGATCAAAGATTCCATATGACATTCTTTAAACTAAAAATGCACGTGCATATCGTAACAACCCTACCAATGAAAGCGAGTCCCAAATTCGCCTGACATCATTCTTGTTTGAACACAATCGGCATGCCGTGACTTACGATTGATCAGAGGAACCAAGGCTTGGAGCGATTGCAAGTTGGCCAGACTGCACGGAGGGTAGCCAGGCATTTTAATGTTCATGTTAGGACAATCTTCCGACTGCGTGAGTGGTGTCAGGCCACTAACAGCATCCAAGACCGTCCACACAGTGGACGTTCTTCAGTAACATCACAACGTCAAGACCGGCAGATTGTGCGCAACCATCCTCCAGACCTTTGGGACTCACAACAGACCATTAGTGCCGATATAGTGCGTCGACGTTTACCCATAAGAAACCTCTGCTGTCACAAACCATATCTTGGTCCTGACCTCACCGATCGTCAGACTGACTGCAATGGGCATCTCAGCATCGAAATTGATGTTATCGATAATGGAGAACTGTGCTGATGAAAGCCGATATTGTGTTTCGACAACCAATGACAGAGTCAGAGTATGGCGAAGGCCTGGTGAACGGTATCCCACTTAGTGTATTGCTGAGCGAGACTCTTGGGGTGGTCCAAGCATCATGGTGTGGGCTGCAATCGGTCTGAACCAGAGAGTTGGCCCCGTTGTGTTCCAGAAACTCAGTCCAGGATGGGGAAATGACGTGACAGCTGCTCGCTTTATTGACCAAGTCATAAGACCCCACATTTTGGACATCACAGAAATCATATCTTTTAGCAAGACAACGCTCGTGTCCATACTGCCAGAGCAAGTTTGGACTTTCTGAGACAACATGGCATCCACACCCTTCAATGGCCTGCACTCAGTCCGGATTTAAGTCCAATAAAACGCCTTTAGGACGAGATTCTCTCATCAATGCCCATGGGGGCCACACACGAAACTGACTTTGAGGTATCCTAATGGTACCATTTCTGTTGATTTTTTATGTGTAAACTCTAAATGTGATTCCCGAAAATGTGTTTACCATAATTGTAAAGTTTGGACTCAATCCTCCGTTTTGATAGTTAATTAGAGCGAATTAAAGTGGGTGCTTTACGAAACGTCTATCGGTGCGGCGTTTCTTTGCGGTTCAGTATATCATTTTTGATTTCAAAACGTGAATAATTACCAACTCTATAATCCCAAAAACATGTTTTCTTAAATCAATTGCTTTGTTTTTAATAATTGTGTTTTAATTTTAACATAGAATTAGATTAAAATGTGCCCTTCTGTTTTATGAAACAGGCTGCTATCCGAAAGTAGAAATATTCCAAACTGAGCAAACAATATTTGAAATGTCTTTTGTTGACATTTTAAAGGTCTTTCTTTTTGTGCACCTGTCATCAATGGTGAGGAAATTTCGCGAATTTTCACCAAGGTAATTCTTTAAAAATTCTTGTGCAAGGGTTTTAATACATTCCTGAGGACTTCCCTTGTTAATCATCTCATTTCTGATATTCTCAACGCTTTGCAATTTTCACCTGCTCACAATCTGACCAAGTCGCCGGCGACTCCCTGCGCTTGACGTGTGCTAGTCTCACCTCCTCACTGAATATTCTTCAAATTTCTGTATATCTTAGACAGAGGAATGCCATGTCTTCCATCTAACTCTTTTGAATTACTCACATCCCTTTCAAAATCATTTAGAACCAGCTTCTACTGTCAAATCTACCATATGAACTAAAGAAGCCGTCTACTACACCAGGGGAGGTAACTCTTGATGTAGTAAGGTTCCTTCCTGAACCTACAAGAGTTGTCTCCCCTATTGAGTACCTTACTACATAATGCAACACCTACTAGTAATTTAGATTCTGTAATCAATATTAGGAAACAAAGATTTTCTCAATAATTCTGGAAACACTGTATAATTTCCATGAACGCTATTCGCGTATAAAACAGAGTTGCTCTGCTGTCATATCAATAGCAATTATAGACAGCTATTTAAACCCACCCAACACGTAATATTGCTCTCTTTTGTTTGCACACACACATATAGGAATCCTTAGCAGAGGTTCTTATGATTAATGACTTTGTGGCTAAAAAGTATGCAGTCAGTCTGCTTACACCTTCCAATCAGTCTTGAAAATGGTCGTTTACGTTCCAGTCCTTTCATAAATTATATTTGAACTCACATGTTGAAATAGTTTATCGTACACAAATATTTCTGCGGAATATACTCCTTTCTTAAATCAACATATGCATCACATATAAATAACAGTTGATAATCATCTGCGACATCCGCCATACAAATAGGGCAAAATCTTAAACGTTTTGCCCGTGATCAATATCAATCATTATATCTGTTAAACCAAGTCTAAATCTTATAACCGTATTTCTAAATTTCTTAAACATATTGTTTAAAAGATCTATATACATTAGATTTAGAACTTAAACTAAGGGCATTCATCCAATTCTGATGAAACATGTGCTGAGCTCAAACTATCAGGTCCAGAACTTCCAAATGTTCTACACTTTAGACCTAAGAACAGCTCAGCTACATTATGCTAAAGAGCAAACCTTTTCTGTTCCGATGCAACTTCGTAGGTTCATGACCAGGCGACCTCGGTTGTCTTGGAGAAACCCGCTCTCCTGAAACAAAAGTAGCTGTGTTTTCAGATCTGTTCACTATTTCTTGCCCTCAAATACACTTTAATAACCTGTACCTCATACAGCAGATACAATTAGATCACATTTTGTATGTTCATGCTGACTATAATTGTCGCTTATTTAATCCAGTGGCAGTCCCCAAGCTCGTAACACAGAAAGGAAAACACGATTCTAGGAAGCCAAGGTATCTTATTGCTTACTGTAGTGTAATGGAATCTCGAACATGACTTAAGGAGACTCTAAGACCCTATATTGACCATACCGCTGTTGTTGATTTGTTATGCACTGTGCAGCAGAGAGACGTTACAATCAGAGAAACATTTGTGGTGTGTGAGTTATATTGCGTGCGGCACCCATGAAGGGCCACCTCCTCGTGGTGGGTGCTGGGTCACGCTAAGCGCCCTTCAACCCCCCGTTGTGGACCCGGGGCGATATTTGGTCCACCAACCCGTTGGCCGTGGGTTGCGCCCCTGTGTCGGTGGAGGACGGGAGGCTGGTGGTTGAGGGCACTGGTTCCAGGAACAGTGTTCCTTTGCCCAACACACCACTTCGCCCCTTACTTCACCTAGACGGGTGGTTGAACTGGCCCGGTTCAATCAATCGGCTGGTCACGCCATGCCCTGTGCATGGAAACTGCTTTCAATATTTGCTGTTTTGAACAATTCAGACCATTTTGACTTTGAATATTCAAATGTTTGCTGAAATTACATTGCCTAGAGTCCTGTGCCAGAAGGCGGTGGCTCATGGGCCAATCTGGTGATATGGATCTCTGAATTCTGAGTTTCTTGAGATTAATGTCATGGGCCGAACCAGCCTGACATTTATTCTTTTAGATTTCTTAGCTATTCATGTCTGTGTTTCTGGAGTATAGCCTCCCTGTAGCCCTGGTGTTGCAGTCTGGTTTCCACTGCAACATCGTCCATGTTGACACTCGATGGCGGGTGGGGGGCAGGGTTGCCGAACCTTATTATTTTACTATGGCTCAAAACACGCATTCTGGTTCGTCTAAAACAAATAAACGGAGACATCTTTCTTCTTCATCTGATGAGGAGGTATCCCCTTTATTGACTGAATCCTGGCCAAGATTTTTGGTTATTGCAACTGATGATGGGAGTCCATTAAATATCAATCCTTTTGCCGTCTCCAAGGGCATCCAAGGTGTCTGCGGAGAGGTAAAGAATGTCACGCGCCTCCGAAATGGTTCACTTTTGGTAGAATGTGTTCGGAGGCAGCAATCTGTCAATCTGCTGGGATTACAGCAGTTTGTGAATAAACAGGTTGTTGTCTCAGTGCATAAGACATTGAACACTTGCAGAGGTATTGTGAGAGACAGGTCCCGTTGTTTATCTGACATGGATGAAGACGAGATTGTGGCAGAGTTAAAGGACCAAGGTGTTACTACTGTGAAGCGTTTTACCAGGAAACAAGACTCAAACATTGTAAAAACAAATACATACCTATTCACGTTTGGTATGACACAGCTTCCGAAATCCATTAAGGCTGGATACTGTAACATCGGAGTGGAGGTATATGTACCAAATCCACTCCGGTGTTATAAGTGCCAAAAATTTGGACATGGTGCAAGGTCTTGCACAGGCAAATCTGTATGCTCTCGCTGCAGTGGAAGTCACGAGAGTAATGACTGCAGTGATACCATACAATGCGCTAACTGTGGTGGTAATCATCTGGCATCCTCCAAATCTTGCCCAAAGTTTGTTTATGAGGCCAAAGTTCTCAAAATCAAATGTACTAACAACATATCATACTTTGAAGCAAAGAAAGTAGTAAATGCAGAGTCTAAATCTTCTACAGGACCAACATACTCAGCCATAGTTTCTTCTCCTTCTCCGATACCTGTTTATAAATCTCAACCAGTTTCAACTGCATGCCAAACCGTTATATCTTGGGTGACTGATGATCAAATAACCTTGAATGACACTGATCTAACATCAAACGATTGTCAACGTTCATCAGCCTCCCAGACTGACGAAACGCAACCAGACAATATAAATTCAACTCAGGCAACACAGAGTGTTACCCAACTTTCAAAGAAAGAAAACAAAAGTTAAGGAAAAGAACAGAGCACTTCAGCATTTGAAAGATTCTCCTTCTTTGAGCCTCCTGTGGTGGTTCAAAATTCGTTTGAACCACTTGACATGGAGATTGCTTCTTCACACACAACGTGTAGGAGTGATGACTCCTTGCATTCTCGATCTCCAGTCAAACCACCATAAGCATTTTTTATGAACTTAATCCAATGGAATTGCAGGGGTCTTAGGAACAATTTTCAGGATCTACAATTATTATCGCAGGATTTTAAACCATCTGTGTTTAGTTTACAGGAGACATACCTGAAAAATACAGACAAATTTGAATTTCGTCAGTACAATTCATTCCATTCGTTTTCACCTCCAGGTGATAAAGCCACCGGCGGCGCTTCTATTTTGGTGAGGCAGGGTGTGATTCATAGCTCTGTCCCCCTTAAAAGTCCTCTTCAGGCGGTTGCTGTCCGTCTTTCGTTACAAATAACCTTCACTCTTTGTTCATTGTACATTTCTCCATCTTCAGCAGTCTGATCTTCAGGATCTATTCGACCAGCTTCCCAAGCCCTGTATCATCATGGGTGATCTTAATGGCCATAACCCTTTGTGGGGAAGTACTGATACTAACATTAAAGGGAAAATCCTCGAAGACTTCATTTCTAATAATGACCTGTGCATATTTAATGATGGATCAGCCACGTATTTACACCCTGGTACAGGAACATATTCTGCACTAGATCTATCACTCACAGACCCAAATATTTGTAACGAATTCGAATGGTCAGTTCATGATGACCTGTGTGGAAGTGACCATTTTCCCACAATACTTTCAGCTGTAAATCCAACTGATGATCCTCCTGCAACAAGGCGAAATTTTACTAAGGCAAACTGGTCATTATTTCAGACACTTTGTACTGACGAACTGAAATCTGACTTTTTTGTCAATGCTCTAGATCCTATTCAGTTGTTCTCGGATAGACTGAATCGAATAGCTGATGAAACTATTCCTAAGTCCTCTGCGACACCACACATTCGTAAACCATGGTTTACTGATGATTGCAAACAGGCCAGGAGGTGTAGGAAGAAGGCAGAGAAATACTTTCGCCGGCATCCTACAGTTCATAATTTAAATAATGTTAAAATCACTGGTGCCAAGGCTCGACGTGCTTTTAAACAGAATAAGCGTCAGTCTTGGCGACATTATGTTTCCAAGATAAACTCACGGACACCGATTTCAAAGGTGTGGAACATGATACAAAGGATAAAAGGTAAAGGTTCCAAATCTACTGTTCATCATCTGAAGGATGGTGATACTTTGTTAACTGATCAGACTGACATTGCAAATAAGCTTGGTGAAACTCTCGCCAAACATTCGTTTTCCTCCAATTATGTCCCTGAGTTTCAGAAACATCAGAAACGACAGGAGAAGAAAAGAATAACTTTTACATCAGACAATGGAGAAGACCACAATGAATTATTTTCAATGCATGAGTTACGTACTGCCCTTGAGCAAGCTCATGATACAGCAACAGGAGCTGATAATATACACTATCAGCTCTTGAAGCATTTACCGGAATCATGTTTGGAAACTCTTCTAACTATTTTTGACACAATATGGACTTCAGGGAATTTCCCACCTTCGTGGCGTAATGCCATTGTAGTCCCTATACCAAAGCCTGGCCGGGATCATACTGATCCGTCTAATTACAGACCAATCTCTTTAACGAGTTGCGTCTGCAAAACCATGGAACGAATAATAAATAATCGATTAACATGGTATCCTGAAACCAATAATCTCATAACAAATATTCAATGTGGTTTCAGGAAAAATCGTAGTACCATTGATCATTTAGTACGATTAGAATCCTTTCTCAAAAATGCAATAGTCAATAAACAACATGCAGTATCGCTATTCTTTGATCTCGAGAAAGCGTACGATACCACCTGGAAGCATGGCATTTTAAAGGATTTACATGATTTTGGTTTAAGGGTCGTTTACTCTCTTTTATATCACGGTTTTAAAAGACAGGCAATTTCAAGTCCGAGTGGGTTCAACCCTGTCTGACCATTACAATCAGGATCAGGGTGTCCCACAAGGCAGTATTTTGTCTGTAACTTTATTTAGCATTAAGATCAACAGTTTATCCAAGGTTTTAAACGATTCAATAGATGGATCACTTTTTGTGGATGATTTTAACATTTCTTGTCGCGGTAAGAATATGCATACTATTGAACGGCAACTGCAGTTGTGTTTAAATAAAATAAATAAATGGTGTCTTGAAAACGGCTTTAAATTTTCTAAATCAAAAACTAATTGTCTACACTTCTGTAGAAAATATAAGCCTCACAAAGACCCAGAACTGTTTTTAAATGGCACTCCGATCAAGGTTGTAAAAGAGGCCAAGTTCTTAGGTCTCATTTTCGACTCCCATTTAACTTTTCTTCCGCATATCAAATCTCTAAAAACTAAATGCCTGAAGGCACTCGATTTATTGAAAGTCGTGTCTAATTCAAGGTGGGGAGGGGATCAAGCTACGCTTCTACACCTTTACAGATCACTGGTCCGCTCGAAGCTTGATTATGGCTCCATCGTATATGGTGGAGCCTGCAAAAGCAACCTAAAACTACTGGATTCTGTCCATCACCAAGGCCTAAGACTTTGTCTTGGGTCTTTTAGAACATCTCCTGTTGACAGTCTTTATGTCGAGGCAGACGAACCTTCTCTTAACCAACGCCGTATAAAATTATCATTACAATATATTACAAAATTATATTCAAACGAGTCTAATCCTGCATTTCACTGTGTCTTTAATCCTCTTTATAAGGATTTGTATAACAAAAAATCGTCTCTTGTTCCTCCTCTTGGGCTCAGAATTAAGCCATTTATTGCTGCTGCCGGCATTGAGCTGGGAAATATAGCTCCTTCCCGTCTTCTTTCTTCTCCTCCTTGGCAATTGGTTAGGCCACAAGTCGACCTAACACTCACTAAATTTAAAAAATCAGAAACTAATGACTTACAATATAAACAAGAATCTAATCAATTAAAAAAGTAAATATAATACATATAAATCCTTATTTACAGATGGGTCCAAGGATGGTGGCGCGGTTGCTTGTGCCACTGTCATTGGGTCCAAAACAATATCTTCCAGATTACCCAATGACAGTTCAATTTTCACAGCAGAAGCAAACGCAATCCTAACAGCTCTCAAATATATAAATAGACACCCTAAGCATAAACAATACATCATCTTTTCTGAATCTCTGTCTTGCCTTCAGGCGATTAAAAATATTTCTTGTAAACATCCACTTTTAATAGAAATTATAGAATTATATAATGATCTTGCAACTGGCCAATACGACATCGTCCTCTGTTGGTTACCCAGCCACGTTGGTATTTCTGGGAATACGATGGCCGATCTTGCTGCAAAGGCAGCACTCAACAAATCTGTGACACCACTTCTTATTCCTTACTCTGATTACAAAGCAAGCATTAGAACCTACATCCGTGATCTGATGCAGAAGAAGTGGGACACCCAAGTAGGTATAAATAAATTACATGAAATAAAACCGTATATTGGTTACACCTACTTGGGTTGTCAGTCCAGATTTGAAGAGGTCATCATACGACGATGTCGTATTGGCCACACTAGATATACTCATGAGTACCTATTAAAAGGTGAGGATCCTCCGTTTTGTATCCCTTGTGATGAAAGAATCACGGTCAAGCATGTCCTGCTTGACTGTGTTGAATATTCCATCACAAGGGATATTTATTTCAAATCCCGAACTATGAAGGATCTTTTTAGTAATATAAGTTCTCATTTAATTATTGCCTTTTTAAAAAAATTAGACTTGCTTACTGATTTGTAAATAAATATATATTTTGTTATTGGTAGTTTAAATTAGTAACTGTTATTGTTAGTGGCTGTACCCTCAAAGGGGGTTGAAGTAGCGTAAAATTATTGTCCTCCCGAGAGGGTACGTAAGTCCCAAAACATTTAGTCAATTTAAGTGTACCAGGTTTTTAATCGTAGAATATGTGTACTTTTAATTTATGGCTAGGTTTCTCTTCTGTCGCCAATGGCTGAAGGGATGGTGTAAATCCAGCTAGGGTCCATGCAGGAAGCAAATGTACTATAAGTCCCCATGGTCCCTAGTATGGTGATCTACCTTCAGTTGTTGGTGATCAATAGCCTGTTTTTTATATTGTATCGTCGTGTATAGTTCAAATGTTTTAGATTTAGTTACTAGTTTTATATCTATATCTGTGATAATCTAGTTATTTTACTGTCCTTCGTCGGCAGAATTTTATAATTTCACTGAAATTGTTGATATATTTATAACTTGCTTTAGTCACGATATGGCTGAAATATTGCCGATGTGACTTAAAATCTTAACTCACTCACTCACTCACTATATTGCGTGTACATTGCATGCAAGAAGTTTGGGGGCAGTGGGGTAGCCTAGTGGTTAAAGCCTTCGCTCGTCACGCCTTAGACCAATGGCGTCCCCGCCGTGATACACCGATATTACAACTATGTCGTGACTGTCTGTGAACAAACGAATATCGACTCTGAAGCTGTGATTGGCCTGGTTGTTAATATTTCGTATTGTATTTTGTCTTCTACAGGTCAGGCAAAATATACATTTCCAAGTAGAAACTTTTATTGCATACTTTAAATATAATTATGATGGGGATGGGGGTATAGGGGGTACAGAGAGAGGGGGATAGCCGTTAAGTTTCATATCTGACATCATTACATAATACCATGCTCACATGTCCGCACATTTTGGTGAACATAAACATCCGTTAAGAAAAAGGCCACGAACCGTCCCTACTACCTCGACAATTAAAGTTAATTATTACATATCTAACTTCAAGCAGAGAGAACTCGGACTGTCCACGCTAAATGGTCAAGTATTTCCGACTTTGGTGATGCTGAGAGTGTTGCTGAGGGTGGTGTTTATTGTGGAATGTCGGATGCTGCTGCTACACTGCAATCGTTGGTGGAAAGTTTTATCCTTGAACGATGATGGATGTTGTAATATGGATGGAGCATCCTTGAAAGGAGATAGAAACATTTGTCAAAGTATCGCTATTGGCATACCTGGGAGTAATCTCTTCACAACGCCGTCGGGGTCAGGTGCACCTGAAGATCAGAAAGGAAATGATATGTAATGAATATTGATTCAGTATATTGCTGTTTATCTATGCCATGTTCATGTGTCTTAAATATTACAAAAACAAAATTAATTAGGGCTATCAATATATACTGACAAGTACAGGACTTCCGTCTATGATGTGTAAGGTTGCCGACCCTGATAAAATTATCAATTTCAGTGGCATCTTACGACAATAATATGTCACCGAATCAATCATGGAAATCCCACACATTTCTACTGAGAGACGTAAAGACACGCCGCGATGACAGATTAACAGAAGTGTAAGATACACTTGGAATTGGTATTGGTAACTCCATGAAATGGGTACAGAATACATGTACTAAATATTGTTGAAAGAAATACACACTTATGGTATAGTCAGAAATGTACAATTGACCCTGCTTTTAGGAGAGATTTCTTATGGATGTGGAAAGAGTATTATCACTTCTTTAAAAAGGATTTTAAAACATTGGGTACAGTATGTGAAGCCGATTTTTGGTGTCCCCTGCCGTGATATTGTGGGAATATTGTATTACTCTTGTGAGTGAGTGAGTGAGTTTAGTTTTACACCGCGCTCAGCAACATTCCAGCTATATGGCGGCGGAATGTAAACAATGGAGTCTGGACCAGGTAATCCAGTGATCATCAGCATGGGAATCGATCGGCGCAATTGGGATACGATGAGTCAGCAAGTCTGACCACCCAATCCCTTTACTTGCCTCTTGCGACAAGCATGGATTACTGAAGATCAATTCTAACCCGGATGTTCACGGGTCCATTCACTCAAGAAGTTTGGTGGCCATTTTTAATGTTTACTTTTCGTTCTTTCGTACAGTTGTCACGTCACGAATCTGCAAGAAGCGTTAGTAACATGTATCAACATCTCCTAGGGGACCATGATTGTTCGTTGTTTAACACCGCACTCAGCAATATTCCAGCTATGTTGTGAGGGTCTGGGAACAACTCATCGGGAGCTGTTATCGTATTGTATTTTGTCCCAAACACATTAGCAAACATATAACAATGTAATGAGAAACTTTGATTGTGACCTGGATTATGATTGTAATGAATTCATGTTCAAAAGCAATTAAGTGTAAACATGGAGATGGGGGATTCCATGCATAATATGGAAAATCATTGCTTAAAACCATCCTCACATGTTGTCGGCAGATATTGGTGAACAACTACATCCATTTAGATAAAGGCCACAAACCATCCCTACTACCTGGACACTGAGCAGAGAGAACTGCGACTGTCCACGTTAAATGGTCAAGTATTTCCGGCTTTGGTGATGCTGAGGGTGGTGGTTTTTGTGCAATGTCGGATGCTGCTGCTACACTGCAATCGTTGGTGGACAGCTTTATCCTTGAACGATGATGGATGTTGTAACATGGATGGAGCAGCTTTGAAAGGAGATAGATACATTTGTCAAAGAATCTTTGTTTGACCTACCTGGGGAAGATCGCTTCTCAACGTTGGTGTCAAGTGCTCCTGAAAGGGATTGAGATTTAAAGTGTACCGATTTAGCATATTCCGGTTTATCTATTCTATGTTTATGTGCCATGACTGCTCTGAAGCATACATAAACTAGAGTACTGCAACCACAAAATTAGGGCTGTCAATACGTACTGTCAAGGACTGGATTTCCGACCACGAGATCAGTGGGTAAATTGACAATGACAAATGTTTTTAAGGTCATGTGATCATGGCAATACATAAGCATGCACAAGAGAAACAGGTCGGTGATTTCACAAACAACAACCCACGCCATCGTCGTACCAAAGGAAGCAAATCGGTCGCATGATGAAATTATTATTGTTTACTTTATCTCTCATACAGTTGTCACATGACGAATCTGCAAGAAGCAATATTCCAGCTATGTCGTGACAATCTGTGAACAAATGAATATCGACCCTGAAGCTGTGATTGGACTGGTTGTGAACAGTTATGTTTCACATATGACATCATTTAATAAAACCATGCTCGCATGTCCGCAAATTGTGGTGAACAATAACATCCGTTAAGGAAAAGACCACGAATCGTCCCTACTACCTGGACAATGAAAGTTAAATATTACATATCTAACTTCAAGCAGGGAGACCTGGGACTGTTCACGTTAAATGGTCAAGTATTTCCGGCTTTGGTGATGCTGAGGGTGGTGTTTTATGTGCAATGTCGGATGCTGCTGCTGCTACATTGCAGTTGATGATGGAAAGTTTTATACTAGAACAATGATGTTTGTTGTAACCTGGATGGAGCAGCTTTGAATAAGAAATTTTAACTCTAAATTGTATATTTATATACTTATCCTATCTTACAACTTGCACTTCTCTCTCTTGCTTCGATGCTGAGTGGAGCGAATGAGAACTTTCCCTGCTGGCCTCCCTTGTCCATACGCCTGTGTTCCCTAGGCTGCTCTGTTTATAGGACAGGTCCCTAGTCCCTGGTTAAACGTGCAGCACGCTCCCCTATCTACCCACGTGACTACCTCAGAGTGATCGTTCTCTTCTTGGAGCCAATGACACTTAACTGCAACCGCCGTAATCTGAGTAGTGGGGAGGCTGGGCGGGCATCCATCCATACAATTTATAGTTACAATTTCAAAATTTTAAAACTTATCCTTTATCACGATTTGCACTTATCCCACGGTTGGACAGCGGGTAGCAGATTACCCTAGGTCAAAGCACATACAGTATACACTGTATAGGCTAAAGAAATTTTAGTACCTATACTAGTGATGGGTTCTCCTTAACCCCTTGGCTTACTAGGCGCGAACGCTCGTAAGGAGTGTGTGCTCCCGAGCGATGTGGTGTTCGGCCTCAACCCTTGCTTCGTCACGCTTTATCGGAGTATCCCGTAATTAAAGTCTAGCGACAAATAATCAGGCCTGTACCTGCTTCGAGACAACTCCCCAGACCCCATCTTGAAGAGGGGAAAAGGAAACTGAATCGGAAAACTCCCAAGTTTAACGTTCAGTACCAAAACACCACATGACTTCCACTCCTTACAACAGTGAGGTCACAATGGTGTGCTAAGGTACTTAGGAGCTAGAACGCCACAAAATCCAAGAGTAAGTCGGGAAGAACTAACTACACTGACGTTATTGCTCCGTGGAGTAGACGTCAGCAAGCGAGATTGTCGAACACTTCTACATCGCAAATACGAGAACTAACCGTTGTAGATCCGTATAGACACTAATTGCAATAACCCAATAAAACTGTGTGAAGAGTTCTAATCCCAGAAGAATCGAGAACAAAACTCAGAAGAACAATTCATAATTTTATTCAGTATGTACAGGAGATCGAGTGAATAGACGTGCACTATCCGGTTGTCCTGGCAACTGGTTATTTGCAACAAAGTCCCAAGGCAGTCCCAGAAAAAACTCTGCCATGTCGTTTCCATTCAGAATGGACACGATTCACATCAGGTGCATGATTTGTTTGAGTGGCATTCTAGAAGCTGGTGGTATAAGGGTGATAATACACTTGAAAACGGTATAAGAATCTATACCGAAACGTTGCCATTGTCAAATAAAGAAGTTGATCATCCATAAAATCTTGTCATCCTTATACCATCTGGTGCATGTAACTCCGAAATATGAGCTGCAGTAGCTAATGCTACTAAAAAAGAAAGTTTGAACGTTATTTGTTCGAACCCCTCATGTAGTGGCTCATGGTCACTGGATACCAAGTGAAGGAGGACAACTGACAAATCCCATACAGGAGGTCTGAACTTCCTAGAACAAACGAAGCAGATACTGGAGCTCAGGAGTAGTACACACCTTGAGTTCCCAGCAGTAGTGGCTAGAACCGAATTAATGGCAGCCAGATAGGTTGCCAATGCAGTGGTGAGAGTGATGCAGTATTGGGAGAATCAGTTCTCTTAATTACACAGTAATGTTAAAATTTCTTCCATTTATCGTCATACAACAATCGGGTCGATGTCCTATGCGCAGATGTTATAGCTGTAGCTACTCTATGAGAGTAACCCTTAGGTATCAGTGATTTCTGTAAATGCGCCAAACATGCAGATTGAGGGTTTGTGGTGACCTGTGGTACACGTCTGAATGTGGATGACGAAGTAGGACATTTCGGACAGGAAGCAGTACTGGATTCAGTTCTGCTAGCTTTTTAGGCCGACGAACCAGCTTCTCGCTGACCCTAAGGGCGCAGCCAAAAGTAGTGGATCTTGAGGAAAGGGAGGAAATGCATATGTGTTCAGGCTTCCCACGATATGGCTAATGCGTCGTGGTCCCACACCTGGGGGGCCGTGATTGGCGACATGAATCGCTGAAGCTGATGGTTGTACGGAGTGGCGAACAGATTTACATCTGGTTATGACAACGGGTACATCATCGATTGGAATATCAGAGGCAGCAACTTCCACTCCGTGGGTGACGAGTGTTTGGTACTTGACATTTCTCGCTCCGGGAATGTGTCAGGCTCTGGCCACTATGTTGAGCAAATTGATTAGATGATAAAATCGAAACGTCCACAGAAGCAGAGCTGCCGATCCTGTCGGACCCTGATGGTTTATCTACCATACTACCATTGAATTGTCTGATTGAATCAGTAGATGGGAGGATTGCCCAATGCGGATCGGTGATAATGACAGCGCTGTATTCCAATTCGTTGATATGAAAGCCCTTTCTCCTGATGACCAATGCTCGGCCACTTGAAGAAAGTGAACGCCCCAGTCCTCAAGAGATGCGTCGACGAACAGGTGTTGAGTCAGTGTAAATGGCACCATAAAGACTCCGTCCCGGATGTACGGGCACACAAACATCTTGTGCCGACGTCAACCACCCTAGTTACGGCTGCCACTGGCGAAGAGTTCTGGGTTGGGCCAGCACTAGTAGCACGGTGCACTGAATCTTGTCCCACCTGTCCTGGGGCACAAACATCATTACCTTCCAACACGACGAACGACGAGCAGTTAATATGGGTCGTCGAAAGTGGGATTGTGTTGGGTGATCGATCATGCTCTGTTGAAGTATAACGAGCTCTGTCTGCCAGCAAACGGGAGCAGGCACGTGTATATGCTCTAAAAGCGTCTTTGATAAGGGAGCACATTCCCGACAGTGCTTGCTCCAGGAACACAGGCCAATACAATCCACACATGGCAAGTGGGGATCCGAGGAAGAAAATATTGTTCAAACTGTGATTACTTTACTTAGGGTCAACTACCCATGATATATTTCTCACGTTAACTTGTAAGGAAAACTGAGAACTCTCACAATACGTCCAAACAGTGGTGCGACAAGTAGAATAATGATCACTCTGAGGTAGTCACATGGGTAGATAGGGGAGCGTGCTGCACGTTTAACCAGGGACTAGGGACCTGCCTATAGTTGGAGTCACCCTAGGGAACACAGGCGTATGGACAAGAGAGGCCTACAGGGAAAGCCTATAGTTGGAGTCACGTGCCCGTGAAGATGAAAAAGGAAATTAGATGTGATGTGTACCGATTCAGCATATTGATGTTTATCTATTCTATAGTCATGTGCCATAAATGCTCTGAAGCATAAACCAAAAAGAATGCAACCACAGACCTAGCCCTATCAATATGTATTATCAAGAACAAGATGTCCCACTGTAATTTTAGGGACACAATGACAATGACTAAATGTGCTTTAAAGAACATTTTATGGCAACCCACAAATACGAGGGTCTTTCACCTAGAAAATCATACAAATGGGCTCTTTTTATGTTTTATTTTCTATATACTATCTGCCAACCTTAAACAAACTTGTTTTGCTATGTTCCAGCTCCACGATCCCCATTTTGATTTTTTAACTTGATAGCCCCCAAAACTTTTGAGATGGATAGAGGTCCGCTAGAATCAAACTGAGATATGAAAGTGCATAAAAAAGCGATTTGAAGCTACAATCGCTTGTTTACTGAAATAACTTCTTTTAAAAACACTACCAACCCCCCTTTCAGATGACGTAATCATAAGGACAATACTTATTCTCATGTTTTCACTTATTCATACATGCTGCCAAGGGTTCAAACTAAATACTAAATGGTCACACATGTGTCAACTCTCAATATATTGTAAACACTGCCAGCATGAATAGCTAGACACAATGTTTTTAAAGACTAAAATGGGGGTGTCCTTAAAAACAACCCCTGGCTAAATGTAAGGAAGCAATCCAAATCTTTCAATCTTGATTATGACGGGCACTCATCCAATACTATACTGAACACATTTCATATGATATTTTCTTTGAGCATATCATTATCTAAGAGGTACCAAATGACAGATCATTTTTCATTTTCTGCATTTTCTTTAAGAAATATTATACCCCAATGTGTTGTGATGACTGATGTCTCGTTAACCACATTACCCACGTATGTGAAATTTTGGATATGGCTTTGCTAATAATTCCTTCCAAAAAAAATGGAAGCTTTTCAAACATTGGACATAAGGAATATAGTTATTGACTACGTTTTGATTGACAGTCGTAAATACGAAATCAACAAGAGAAACAGGTCGGTGATGTCAGAAACAACATCGCACGCCGTCTATCAAAGGAAGTAAATCAATCGCCTGATGACATATTTAACTTCAGTGGAATCTTCTCACACATTTCTACTGGGAGACGTGAGGACACACGGCAATGACAGAATAACAGAAGCTTCAGGCGCACTTGAAATGCTGATTGGAATTGGTATTGGTAACTCCATGAAACGAAGACAGAATATGTTTACTTACTTTTCTTCTTCTCCTTCTTTCTGCCCCTAAAAGTAGACACGAAATACAAGAGAAACAGTTATCCATAAGATTAATATTGGTAAATGTAAACACCTTCAGGACACGTCTTTGCCAACACGTCCGAGCCTCCAGATGACTTACATGGGGTTTATTACAACTCGTTCAGCTTTGAAGAAGACTAATTCGCAAAACTGCATCAGCTTCGACTCCATTATTTGTAACTGGGTAGCTTGCTACCCTCTTAAAGTCATGTTACTATGAATCATGCTTGGGGGCGGCCCTTGAGATTAATTCACATAATTATTCAGTTAACACATTTACATATCTTTAAAAAAATAGGCTGTGCGTGAAGAGTCCCCACCCCGGTGCTAGAGGGCAATCGTGACAGGCGATATTGGACATCGCTCACTTTCCAGTAGGAAGTAGTCAAGAATGCGCGTCAGGCGATCTAAAATAAGTCACGATTCACTTCCTATCATATCGAAGGTTATTTCAGAGACAGCAGACGGCAAGGCAGACAGAGGGCTGACCCAAACCAATCAACTCCACCAGCAGCACACCCGAGTGAGAGCCAGAAGCAGAGCCATTGAAGTCAACTGTACTCCCTCCTTAATAAAGCATCCTGCATCAACGATGCTGTGTTACGTCATTTCCTTGGTAGTATATATGTGACAGGGAATGTGTGAAACTAGGGATTTCATGTAATCCCTAAAAGAGTCAGTAATTTCATGAAATCCTTGATTTCACACATTACCTGTAGAATATACATCGATTGGGCTAGTAGGGAGTTTTTCTTCTATACATACTAAGGCAATTTAGCAAGACTAATGTCGAAAAGAGACACAATTATTGTGATTTATGGTTTTTTTTCATCGTCATTTTGAGGTCAGGGAGATTTGTACGAAAAATGACGTCAGGGCGAACCTGTGAGGTGCTCCTGTTGTTTGTGGTGTACAATCAATACATTGCCAACAAAGACATGTATTTAGTCTGAAATTTCGTGATGTATGAAAATAGACATGATATTATTTTTTAGAAAGAGCACTAGGTATCTCGGATTTGGACAGACCTGTAGTTTTGGACACTATCAATAACTCCTCTTGGCATCAACTGTGACATGTGCTTTTTCTCATCTTCCTAACTCCACCAACAACCAGTTACTCCAACCAAGACACACTTGACTCGCGAGGTGCATGTGACAAGAAACTTGACATCACGGTTTGTTAAAGGAAATTTGAATATAGTTTGAGTTGAGTTTTTCAGGTTGTTTCCATGTGACGTACCTCAAAATTGTAAAACTCTTAAAGATTTGCCATTTCGATGCGTCTCCACCAGCGCACAATGTCGTTGTCCCGTGCAAATCAGGCTAGAAATAGGTATTCAGCAACCCGTGCCAGTCAAAAAAGGTTTAACAGTTTTAAGACTGTCGCAGGACGTGCAGTGATCCATCGGAGGAACAACCCCCTTTGTATCTACGTCATGATAAATCATGTTTAATGAAAACCTACACTTCTGGACATTTTGTGCATTACTCATTCTTATTCGTATCAACTGTGACAACTGGTGTCACTAAACCTGACGATAACAGCCAAAGGATACTCTTACCAAGACACACAGATCACTCTTATCCTTGACACACAATTCACACTTACCCATGACTCACTAGACTTGGTCGTTCAAACTTGTCTTCATTGTAAGCGGGACTATGATTTGTAGTTGAGGTCTGTATTTTGTCACGATTAATGGGATCTGATTTAAGATGGTTGACATGACTGATGCAGACACCCTGACCCTGAGGTGTGTATCGATGTCCATGATATGAATCAATGGAATGTCTGGTTGATTGGCAATTATTATCTGATAGTGAATTCCTTACAGGCCACTATCATAAAGCTGGAATATTGTTAATTATCGCAATCAACAGTAAATGAACAAAAGAAGAAATTTGTTAGAACTCACCATATGAAGAAAATCACTGCGCCCACAAGGATGAGGATAAGGACAAGTACTGTTACAACAACTGGAATGACGACCTGGGAACTGCTTGTCGGTGCCACACCTGTGGTAACGGTTGTGTGACTGCTGTAGGTAGTACCTGCATAATGATAAACGCACACATGATAACGTGAACACACACTCAAAATCCTCGAAGTTTAATTTCTAACAGAAGATATGATAGCGGTTAATGTTATTCACACCTCTTACAAATAGTTTATACATGACACTCTGAACATATACTAGGCACATAAAGAAACTGTGCATACAAAAATTTAAAATCTAAATTTATCAAACCTGTGTAGACACATAAGGATTTAAACTCAGAGATTAGTGATATGTTTCCAACATGCATGCACGTGCCGCGTTCCTCGATGTCAGTGGTTTCGTCCTTGAGACGTGCAAGACGTTGTTGCACGTGCAGTCCGGGAAAGAGAAACAGAGCAAATGAATTCCACACAATACTGTCAGTTTGGAAAGCTCAACCCCTGCCCTTGCGATCGATCAAAAAATTAAACGGCTATTGAAACGCATAGCATGCCAAGGCTCAAGTCCGCACAACGACATGAGGCCATTGGGATGGTCCGTGGGGGAATGTCTCAACGACAAGTGGCTAAACATTTCCACTGCCACCGGAACACCATTTCTTCACTGGTGAGACGCTACCAGAACACAAATGACGCCATCGATCGGCCACGTTCGGGAAGTCCACGTGTAACAACGCCATCTTTTTAGACAGGACAGATGGATAAGGGTGACCTCGCCACAGGTTTCAGACTGCAGTGATGACTGCCCGGACCATCCCAGGACTTCGCCGTATCCACCCCAACACAGTTCGACAACGTTTACGTCATCACGGGATCAGACCACGACGTCCCGCCATACGGCCTATCCTGACACAACGTCATCGACAAGCTCGCCGAATGTGGTGCCGAAATCATGTCCGCAGACCCTTGTTGTGGTGGAGCAATGTTGTTTTTACAGATGAGTCCAGGTTTAACATTTCCCATAGTGATGGACGTCAACGTGCCTATAGACGCGTGGGAGAACGTTATGCACAGGCCTGTGTCTTGGCGAGGAATCGCTTTGGTGGTGGTTCCGTGATGATTTGGGGTGGAATATCAGCACGCAAAAGAACTCCTTTGGTGATTGTTCAGGGCAACTTAACTGGTGTGGGCTACAGGGATCAGATTCTTCGACCTGTGGCGATTCCTTTTCTGCAACGTCATGGCCCGGGGTTAACATTCCAACAGGACAATGCCCACCCTCATACGGAAGGGTTGCTATGGATTTCTTGCAACACCACAACGTTGACTTACTGTCTTGGCCTGCAAATTCACCGGATCTCTCCCCGATAGAACATGTTTAGGACGAGATTGATCGACATCTAGGCCGTCTTCCTCATCCGCCAGATAACGTCCTTGACCTTGCAACAGAGCTTGAGAGAATCTGGCGTGACATCCCACAAGCCTTCCTTGCACGTTTGATAGGCTCTATGCGTCGTCGATGCACTGCTGTTCTCAATGCCGATGGTGGACATACCCGTTATTGAGCTTGTGACATGGTCGTTTGGCCCTGTCCCGCTTGTGGACTCGTGACGTCATTGTGATTGACATTTCAGTTGAAATTCTCCCGACTTGTTATGGTCTCATGATCCCTCCAATACAGTTTATATGTACCTTTGACATTGTTATCGTCCTTATCAACTGGGATAATATTTTGACAATGCACAGTTTCTTTATGTGCCTAGTTTAGTACTTCTATTAAAATACAGTAAAGCTTTTGGGTTAAATGTATTAAGATGATATTACAAATGAAATTTTGAACTTGCCATCGTTCGCATTATACGTTCATTGTCCTCTTATCGTATATTAATATAATTAAACGTCTTTAACCTTGATGCACGACAGTAGTCTGTTGGTAAGTCTCACAGAAGTCGCCGATGTGATTTTCTATACAGCCCAAAACGCAGTGTCCATTTTGCTGGATACAGGTGTGTTCTTTGCAATTTCTGCTGCACTGTTGATCACACCGGTCACCGTACACTCCCGCATTGCATCCTTCGAAACATTTTCCAGTTTCCTTGTGACAGCGCACTTCGTTATTTCGAAAAGCTTTACAGCCTTGAGAACAGTTTCGACTACAACCATCTCCATACTTTCCAGATTCGCACTCCTCTCTACCATGTATAGTCAAACCTGAAACACATCATAGGTGATCCACATTTCAAGTTTTGTCATAGCACATATGCCATACCCATTTAGACACATGCTTTAATGTAAGGACAATTACGCCAAAAGTCTGAACGTAAAAGAATTCGGTGTGAAACCATCAACAAACGATGAAATGTTTAAAAATTAAGAATGTGATATAAAGATGAACGAATTTTACAAATTAATGCAGTAGAATTGTAAAATGTATAGTTAGCATGTAGACAACAGCTCTACAGGGAACTACAACCCTATGGACTTTCCACTATATCATGACCAAGATAGTTGTCAATTGTGTCGCATCTTTACTTCTCAAGTTACACGAAAACCAGCAATTGCGTGGAGATCGCAATGAAGGGGATGTTAGCATCTCAGTCTTTATTGATATAATCACTTCTTTTATATGCTGGCTTTGAATTGCACTGCTACTTTATTTCGAACCTCAACCGTAATGCATTTGTAGTGATTTGTAAACTTAGTTAACTTTGGAAAACACATTTGTTGGTTTCACATAGAGTTTTTTTACAAACTGATATCCATTTAACTAGAATTAGTTTTGATTTGGGAAACATGTAACTATGTCTTGAATTCCACCATTAAAGGCCACCCTTGCCAAAAGGCTACATTGATGAACTTTTATGGGGAACAGAGCTGAAGTATCAACATCTAATTTAGGTTATGAAATTAGAAATGAACAAACGTTAGTGGTACCCACTAGATTTAATAGATTAGTTGTGACATCCTATGATGTCATACATTTAATCTGTGTATGTACAACCTACATGTAGATGTTGTGTGTAGTATTCTGTATGCACCTTATAATGCAGTTAGAATGCAGTAAGAATACTTAGAATGCAGTAAGAATACTTAGAATGCAGTTAGAATGCACATCAAATGCTGTTCGATCTTTTTCCACTTCGAATGTACCTCGAAAGTTTTGAACATGTTGCATTCGGAATGAAGTAAGAAGTTTTAGAATGCATCTCGAATTTCCGTGCATCTCCAGGAATATTCATTCCAACAGCATTCGGGCTCATTCCGCCTCAAGTGTGAAGGGCGTATTAAACTGATAATTAAATATAATTGTGTTCAATTATCGAATCCCCGATTTGTGCTCCTATGGTCGTGACAATGTTTTTGTCTTAACCTGAAACGTATAAATACCAAAGGAACATAACAAATCTCCTGAAAATTGTCTGCATTGAGAACACGGCATTGAAAAGGAGAAAAAATATACGTTTTCAACATTCAGGTGCAGTCATAACAATTGTTTCTCTGATCTTTATATCTAAGTCAAGTTGCGCTTTGCGAGAGAAAACTGTCTTTGAAGTAACCACACAAACAGCATTATACCTTTAGAATGATACCACCTTTAATGTGCTGCTTAATTTTCAAAGTCATATTTCCATACTAGATACTATAATTACAAACACAGTTAAACCTACTGACCACTGGCTTTTGTTTTCTTCTGATTGTACAACTGTGACAAGAACATGCACACATGAACTGTATGCTTTATTTTACATTTACCACAGAACATGCGGAATATTGTTTTATTACTTACAGTTATGGTTACGATTTGTCGTCTAATTTACACCCGTTTGGATAAGATGGTTGTGCAGATATATATTGTGTGTGCATTGGATCGTCTCATCTGCTGCAATTAGGGTGACGTGAAAGAAATACGCATTCAAACATTCAAAGTTACTTACAGCATAAAGATACTATTGTTCCAAAAATCCAATAACTCAGCAATGACATTTCCTTTTAGCAGATGACCTGTAAATAAATGAAATGTATTCATTATTGAAACACACAACTGAGATGTACTTCACGAAATTAGCCGTGAGATGGATAACTCGAAGGACATAAAATGTCGTTGAAAAAGGAGTTGACGGATCGTCTGTTTGTTCAGAGTGGATTGTCCCTTGGCAATCAAGGTCAGTGTCTTCCACTCTGAATAAGAAGGGTTGAAGGAGCAAAGGACTAAAGAAATCGCCCTGAAATATATGTCTTCTATTTAGAATTTGAGAGCCTGGCTCTTCAAAGGTCCACCAGTTTCTGAACCAACAACTTATCCGTGCAACCCCGACATCACTTTCTCTTTAGATTACGTGGGGGTGGTCTGAAGGAGACGACATTAATATGTTGAATAGAATACATTTCACCTACAAAGTCTTGGTCGGTTAGTCAGAATCGGACCAGCTTTTGACTGAACATGAAATGACTATTTCAATAATGTGATAAACTATGAGATAGGTTTACTGTGTATATATGTGGACAACTCGGACACCCGTTTGACACAAGTTTAACGTAAATCTCGTACGGTTTCAGAAAGAAACGATAAGTAAATATTCAACCGTTTTGTGACAACACATCTGGCGAATCATTAGACATAACTGTTCTGTCCATATACAAAATCCATGACCAAGAAAATCCACTATGTATGTGTGTGCATGTGCAGTTAATGAAAAATATGAATCACTTTCTTAAAGTTATGAAGTCATTTATACTTATGCGATTCAATGAAACCTCTGTTCACAATCTTATCTATACACATTACAATATTGATCATTACACACCATTGAGACTACGTACATATTTCATTTTCTACCTCGTCTAATGGTTAAAAATACAGTGCTCTGAAAGTGCCAGTTTCTGATGTAAATATTGTTAAAAAATGTTCAAAGTATAAACATAGCTTATCACAATGATATACGTATCACGCAATATTTAACAAGGCAAAATGTACATAATGAAGTTAGATTTATGAAACAATATCTAAAAGATAGACAAAATATACGTCAAAATATTGAAACTGAAAGCAGCTGAATAGTATGAACTTTGATAATTATATTCAAATTTACCAAATCATTGTATTGTACCATCATATTTTTAGCCCGACATATATTTCCTCTCAACCTTAGTCAATGGCGGTTTGTTGATGTTTACTTTCAGATGTGACTTGAAGAGCAGCTTGTTTGTCAACACATACTGTCCCGCTTCCGCTTCAGTGACGAGATTTGATCAAATTTTAGAACTTGTGTTTGAAACAGAAATCACAAAGACAAAACTAACCACGATGAAATATAGTTTTCATATTTTTTTCTTAACATGTTTCTGTGCTATGAAGCCTAAGGGATAAATCCACCGGCGTCGTGTTGGTATTTCCCACCAGGAAATCAAATGGCTTGTGTGTGGCTCAGTGCACGAACATAGCAAGTCAATGGAACGAGCGTCAAAAGAGGCATAATGACAAAGTGTCACTCTGAACTTGGGAAGCGATCGATACCTACTTTCGTTTTACAGTCTTTAATATTAACCACATGAATATAACGTCGTTGTCATGGATCTTGATTTTTATGGATGAGGGGAATCCGGTCAGACATATGCTGCAGCTAGGTGTAAACTATACATAATGCAATAGGCGTCACATAAACGGGCTTCGCGAAATGTGATTTTGTAAACTCTACAGTATGGGGGGGACACTTCCGCGTTCGCGATAGCTAAGATACATAGCGTTCACTGACATGAACGCTATGCAGCACCTCCATAGGCCGCAATGGTGGAAATCCTTTGTCGCACTTTCGCGCACTCGTTACGATTTTTGCGCACGAAAAACTTATATGAATTACTTCTTTGTACTTATACCTACACGTGCGCCCTATTTTCGTTATCAAAATATCCAAAAATATATATTTACAAGCCATCAAACATCTCAGTCGATCGCTCACATATGAGCGGGGCCATTTTGAATCACGTGACCTGTGACGCGAAGGGGATATCCCTCCCAAAAATAGTAACACACGTGTACCACACCTCGTTGCTTGTTGACAACACATTTTCATACATTTAAGGCAATTAAAACGATTGTATGGAGATTTTCGTTTCCAATCTAGACTGACTGACCACCCCCTGCTTTTTCAACAGCTGTTTTCAAAGGATTTGCTGGTGAGTTTTCAATGCTTCATATATAATATAAGATTATTGCTGTCACCTTCACAGTTCCATGGGTGTCTCTGTACTACTCATGAATATTTGCCTACAAAACACAGTTTACTAATTAAATTTAGGACTTAAATAATTAATGAGTTCACGAATTATTATCTATAAATTTCATGTATACCCAAAAAACCTTAAATATTTCTCAGTTTACAACTCTCCTACCTTGAATAAAATTTTAAATGTTTCCATGTTGTATTAGGTCTCAAGCACCAGCTACAAACCTTGCCAAAATCATCTTTTCATTTCCATATTAGCAAACCAAGTGGCCAAAAAGTGTTATTTGTCATCATTAATTATAAACAAAAACTAAAATAAGGAGATACATCAATAAATCAATTGTTGGATAAGGGGATCATTCAAATTACAGCACAATGCCAAATATCATACTTAAACTCTTGTGCATACACCATTGGACAGAAGGCTTTTATTTGTTAGGTCAACTGAAGAAAATTCATTTGCAAACGTTACAGTACCTCTTATCTTTTGACAGCAAACACAGCAGGCTTTCCAAATTATCAATGAAGAGTTAGTTTAGAAAGTCTGCTTTTCAAGGTGCAATTAGATGTTTATTGAGAACATTAACAATGATAAGGATATGAACATGTGCATGAAGTTTATTCTTTGAAGGTATAAGTTTAAACTCATGTTAAATTAAAGTGATAATTAATAATTAACATTGATATGCACTTTATTTACTGGTATTCAAGGTTGAAAATTGAGAGAAGAAACCATGGATGACACTGTCTGTGCCCATTGCAAGGGCAAGTTGAAGACAAAACAAAGGGATGGAAGAGATATAGTTGCAGCTTAGTATTTGACGACATGTCTATTTTTTTGTGAAACTCACTGCTATAACTTATCAAAACAAGAGTCATCAAAAGATGACAAATCCCCCCAGGCTCCAGAAATTTGAAAGAACAAATCATCTGACAGTTACTGATAGTCCAACTTGATTTTTTTTTTACTTGGTGCAAATTGTTCCATGGAAATCATGAAAAATATAAATACTAAAACTTTGAAATAACAAAAGGCACCACTTCAAGATCTGTCTCATATATCTGCTACATTTGTTGAAAGATAATGAAAGGTTTTCGATTTTTGCTCAGGAAAAGAAGCCCACCCCTACGTTTTGAGACTAAGTCCAAATCGTTTCCATGGAACCGAGAAAAATAAAAAAATGTCAAAAATCTGCAAATAGCCAGGGCACCACTTAAGGTTCTGATTGATATATATACCAATTTGTGGTGAAAAATATTGAACAGTTTTACAGTTCTGCTCCTGAAAAGAACACTACCACCAATTTTAGTCAAAGTCGAAAATTGTTGCAATGGAAACACACACAAAAATATTTTATACAGAAATCCCAAACTACCAAAAAGGCACCAGTACACCACCAGATCTATCTATGTGCCACGTTTGGTGAAGAAATAGTGAGCGGTTTTGAAGTTCTGCTCCGGAAAAGACGAATGTGCACGGACGGACGGGCGGAGCGCATTTTAATGATTTGCATTTGGCTGTGTGCTGTAATTTGAATGATCCTTCCCCTTTTAACAATTGCTTTCAAGATGTATCCCCTTGTTTTAGGATTTGTTAATAATTCATGATGAAAAACACTGTCCCTTCATGTAATCAACATCTAATCTCCTATCCAAAGGAGGAAATAAATATGATGATGAAGATAGGAGAAATGTGAAATGAGAAATATTTAAGGTTATATGGTATAAATGAAATTTATAGATAATTGATTCGTGAACTCGTTAATTATTTAATTCCTAAATTCTAATAAGTCTTATTGGTAAACTGTGTTTTGTAGGCAAATATTCATGAGTAGTACAGTGACACCCATGGAACTGTGAAGGTGACAGCAATAATCTTATATTATATGTAAAGCATTGAAAACTCACCAGCAAATCCTTTGAAAACAGCTGTTGAAAAAGCAGGGGTGGTCAGTCAGTCTTGATTGGGAAACGAAAATCTCCATACAATCGTTTTAATTGCCTTAAATGTATGAACATGTGTTGTCAACAAGCAACGAGGTATGGTACACGTGTGTTACTATTTTTGGGAGGGATATCCCCTTCGCGTCACAGGTCACGTGATTCAAAATGGCCCCGCTCATATGTGAGCGATCGACTGAGATGTTTGATGGCTTGTAAATATATATTTTTGGATATTTTGATAACGAAAATAGGGCGCACGTGTAGGTATAAGTACAAAGAAGTAATTCATATAAGTTTTTCGTGCGCAAAAATCGTAACGAGTGCGCGAAAGTGCGACAAAGGATTTCTACCATTGCGGCCTATGGAGGTGCTGCATAGCGTTCATGTCAGTGAACGCTATGTATCTTAGCTACGTTCGCGATCGTGTTTCCCCTAAACATCCCAACCGACGTGTTTTATCGTAGACGTTTAGGAAGTATCGTTTGTGATTTGAAGAAAGAAACACAGGCATGAGTAGTCACTAATATGTTATTTTTGGAATTCAATCCGATTTTAACTTTTCAAAACATACACGAATTATCACTGCGAATTTGTAATGTGTGAAAAATGGCGACATTTCCGGTGTACCCAAAATACCCAGAGGTTAGTTTCAAAATCTTTGCTTTGCCAAAGGTGAGAGTCGGTGACACCCGAAAAAACCGGAAATATCCCTCAAAATTCAACATTGCAAAGTGTATTAATGTGAATGATATATGTAGTAGATGAGGGGCACATGTTCCCCTGGCAACAGGGGTTAAACACCTCGGAGGACAGAAATGTTTGAAGAGCTTCAAGCCAGTGGAGTACAACCCAGCTGTGATAAGTCATACAATTGTCGGTTTCGTCGGTTTTAAGATGAAAACATAGTGTAAAGCTGCTTACCGCTTTCTTCAACACAGACAGTTTCAGTTCGGGTCGGTAGCTTGTTGACTGCGGTTATTCAAGCCTGTCCTTCCCTCGTGTGTTACACCCGGCTTTGTGCGCACTCGCTGCAAAATCGATACGTGCAGCTAATGTATTTATAACCTGCCTTGCGACTGACGGGTATTGTATAACATAACAATGGATACTCGCTACACCATAACTATAGGTTTGTTTGTCGGTGTAGTGAGTTAAAATTTTACATGGCATCGGCAATATTACAGCCATATAGCTATGAAAACAGGATAATCATTATAAAATATCTGTCGATAAAGGGCAGTATAACCAACTAGACTATCACTAATCTATGTATTCAAAACTAGTAATTAAATCTAAAACAGTTTTACTATTGAGGACGATACAAGATAAAAACAGGCTATAGATCGCCAAAAACTGAAGGAAGATCACCATATCAGGGACCACGGGGACCTACAGTCCCTTTGCTACGTGCATGGACCCTCGTTGGATTTACACCATCCCTTCAGCCACTGGCGAATGTAAGCAAATCTAGACATAATATAAAATTACAAAAATACTACGTTTAAAAAATCTGGTAAGTATAAATTTGTCTTGAATGTTTTGTGTCTTACGTACCCCCACAGGAGGACAATGTTTGTCGGTGTAAGTATCAGAGCTACAGATAACTTTTTGGGTCATTGAGTTATGTACTCGCTTGTGGTCATCTCAATTGGGTATCCCAATTTTCCACTGAGTAACCAAATAAATTGTACCCACCCCATTTAAACGCAATTGGGTATTTTGTCCTTTTCCATTAATTGTGAAAAAGTTATAAAGTTTAAATGTTATTTATATTTGATCTGTAATATGAGAAACGAATAAGAAAGACTGTGAGATGCCTTGTTCGTGTGATGAAATAGAACCTCTCAATATACCTCAGTTAGTCTATCTATGCCACCTGTACGCTAGCTAATATTTGACATTTTTGTGTGCACGCATGTAAGATCTAATATATTTACAAAAATCCAAGCGTACTTGTACGCAAAAGACTTAATAAGACTTGAGTTTGTATTTAATGTTTTGAGTAATTTATGCAGATACGCTGTTTATCTGTACCTCTGAAGTATGCTTATGACTTTTTTTAAATTTGAAATTGACAATGTCGAAAACGCCATATCAGAGGATCAGATTGCAAAAAAGGGAGGCCACGCCAATTCTATTCCTCTCTTTGTATGACGCCAGTCAAGTTGCATTTTGTCTTTGTTAAATCTATCAACTTGCAATTGCTATCATATTTCTAACAGTATTCTTAAGGAAATATCCGACTATATTTTCTTCTCCCCGGCCAGAACCTGCAGCCATGTGATAAGTGATCTCGCCCATGAAAATTAATTAAAAGAATAGTCTGAACATAGATTGTGTTCGTGTTGTAACTCTGAACAGTTTATAGATGAATTTCATTTAAGTGCAAAATCTTGTCACGTGAACGTTATTAGTAGGCCAAATATGCAAATAAATTACTAAGAAATAACAAATTACATGTACTTTAAAATTATAAATAAAAATTATGTACACCATTATGTGATCGAAACTGCATGCTGGTTGCCGGGTCACGTCGGCATAGCAGGTAACACTAAGGCCGATGCTGCAGCAAAAGCAGCTCTCGAAAAGCCCCTATCTCCACTGCTAATCCCGTACAGTGACTTCAAACCCACTATCAAAAGCTATACTCGGGACCTGATGCAAAAAAGGTGGGACACTCAAGTAGGAAGAAACAAACTCCATGAATTGAAGCCAACAATCGGTTATACCTACTTGGGTTGTCAGTCAAGACGCGATGAGGTAATTTTACGAGGATGTCGTATTGGCCACAGTCGATTTACACATGACTATCTGCTGAAACCGGATGGGGATGGACCCCCCATGTGTGTCTCTTGCGATGAGGTGTTCACCGTCAAGCATATTCTGCTTGAATGCGTGGACTTATCGCCTGCAAGGGACTCACATTATGATGCAACAAACCTAAAAGATCTGTTCTCACGCGTGAGCGCCCATCTGATACTGAACTACCTGAGGGAAGTTGATCTGTATCATAAACTGTAACTGTGAAATGTAACAACCATAAATTGTAACTATGAAATGTAACAAACCGCCTGCCTATAAATTTGATGCTATGATTTTTTCTGCTTTCGAATGACAATGCAATAAATAAATGTCTTTGAAATAAAACTCATTCCGAGTATGTACTTACAATATTTACTAATGCAAACTTGTTCTCGTCACTATATGGCTGGAAAAATGCCGATGTGACGTAAAGCTCAACTCAACTCAACTCAACTCGTGAAGTAGGGAGGGAGGGGGGGAGAGGGAGGGGGTGAATGGGTGGACAGAGTATCCTCCATTTTCTTTTTATGACGTAACATAGGTGTGACCTTTGTGTGACCCATCCTCCTTTAGGAGTCCCCTTCCGGTGTGTGTGTCACCTTCAGGTTCAAGTGGTCTGTGATTATTATTCAATTATCTTATGAATGGTATGAGTTTGCCGACTCGAGTGTTCACACGACAAACTAATGCTTAGTCTCTGAATATATAATTTTGATAGTAACCAACAAGCCCGTTTAAATTGAAAAGGAGCCCTAATGACCCCAGAGATTCAGAACCTGAGGAAATCTAGACTTGTTTTATTTAGGGTTTTAGCACTGCAGAGAGGGCATATGGCAGTAGGGAAAATAATGTGGTTCAGGGACTATGAGACAGACTAAGCATACGCGTTCAACGTAGAATTAATATCACTCAATGAGGGGGAATTTAGCTGCGATTTATAAGGTCAAAATATCACAGCGCATTTTGTTAAATCAAAGTTTAAAATACCCTGTCACACAAGGAAAAAGTATTTTCCATATCTGTCAACAATAAACGGTTGTAACTGTTAAAATTCATGTAGGTCTGTATATGCGTGGAATAGAGGGCGCAGTCTATAGGCATTAATACAAAACACTGTGCTATTCTGCATAGCAGAATGGCTTGCTCACTGAGCCGTCACTGAAGAGACATGTGACAGCTGTGATTGGATGAAATAGTGTAAGGTGTTATGTTCGTTAAAAGCACCTCCATCCAGTCATTAAAACTGACCACCATTTTTAAGTATTTAATGCTGTCATTTGTATCAATTATGCTTATGCGTGTACAAATTATGTTCAAGCAAGTGACAGTTGGTGCGGACCTGGGAGGGTTGATGTGTTTAGCTTCCTGTGTGTGACTTCCTGTGCTTGCAAAGTTATCCTGTTCAAGTTGACCAGAAATTGTTTTATTGTAGGTTACAGGTCAGACTGTAATCATGTGTACATGGTTGGTGATAATTTTCAGCGTGGTCACATACGGTCAGCTTTCTGCTGTTTAAAGGTCAGACTGTAATCATGAGAACATGGCATGGATAATTTTTCAGTGTGATGTTGAATGTATGCTGGCAAGCGGTCAGCTTCCGTTATGTAGGGAGACAAGTGTCTGACCGGAATTAAATACAGGAAATAGTAAGCAGTTGACGACTGATGGTCACTGAATATCTCAAGTAGTTTGGTTGTACAGTGATGAAATGATTTAGCATTTGTCATATATATTACTGAATAAAGAAATATGTCTTCTCCTGTAAAACTTTCACTTTTACTCAACATTTTAAAACTTTTACTCTCAAATTGCAAAGATAAAAAACACCCATCTTATGTCCATGTTTATGACACTTTTTTGACATCATGTGACACATGTTACTCTCATGCCGTTAGTCGCCTCTTACGACTAGGATGTGTTCTTACTGTAACCCTGGTGACTACAGTCGTTGGGTGTAAAGCCATTCTTGGTTTAGACACTGTACTGTGCAGACGTGTTACCACTGCTCTGGGATATCATGGATGTGTGTGGACATTACCCACTCGACAAGACACTCGATTGCTGTGCAATCAGTACTGAATGGGCTTCATTCCAGAAAAGACTTGATTCGTTTAAGGACTGGCCAGTGCAGATGAAACAGAGTCCTAGTCGCATGGCCCAGGCAGGATCTGTGTACTTAATCAGAGGGGACACTTGCAAGTGTTTTCAATGTGGTCTCGTTCTCAAGAACTGGGAAGTAGATGACAATCCCTGGGCCGAACATGAAAAATGGTCTCCAGACTGTCCGTATTTGGCCCTGGTGGGAGTACCTCAGAAAAATATGGCCCGCTGGGGTAGTCATGTGGATTTGCAACCAAGAGTGTGATGTGAAATGTGTGACTATTGGAAATAAATCAATGTTAAGAGTATATATATGCATTGGTTGTCTATGTATAGTCTTTTGTCGATGTATAAATAGAGATTTACTCAAATACTAATCTCATTGATATCCCAACCACGATAAGAGCTTGTTTGCTAGAAATAGTATGGCTAGGTACGTGTTTAAACATTACGAATTTTTAAGGTTCATGTTAATGTTTCAAGACATTGAGGAGATTCGACAAGACATCTTAGAAATGAACAGCAAACAGATTCTTGCCGTCAATGGTATTATCAATAGGTTATTAAAGGGAAGGTTACCAGTGACTCGATATGAAAGACGTCGTTTCCTGAGGAAAAATGATAGAAATAACTACCTAGAGGTGTTACGAAGATTAGTTCACCCCCTTTGGACGACGGACAGTATGTGGAAGAGTCTTTTTGCTAGTAACATGCCAATCGTAGCATTTGTTTTGAAACCACAGTTTGTCAATGCACTTAGAGATGAGGCCATTCAAAATGCCTGGTTGTTAGATAGAGCATTGGCTTAGTGTGTTTGGTACACCTGGTTTAGTTTGTCACAGTAGTGCATCCAAAACATCCTGGCAGCGATGTTGAAAGCTACACCAAGCCCAAGGTCAATGAAGATATCTATATAACAGGCCACAAGGGCTATCTAACTTCATTTAGCCGTGGACCAGTCACAGTGATGCATCACCTCAGGCCGCTCTCGTTTTCATCATTAATAATCCACAATACAAACTCTTCGTACCCGATACCGAAAAATGGACACGATTTTACATGCTCAGGGCTGA